TTTGATTATCCTACATTTTGCGGAATTAATGCTGAACACATACATTTGTTTTGAGAAATTTTCACCAGTTTATTAAAAAAATTATCATGAGCTATGTTAGGGGACTCACATGACTCATTAACAGATCTTGATGAGCTGGGTGAAGAAAATCCCAACAAAAATTTTACCCTTATTCTAAATATATGACTTAGATAATTAATTTTTAGACATTAAACAAACTAGTTAATTTAATTATTTAAAAAAATATGAGTTGATTTTTTAAAAAAATATCATTTATTCATTTTAGTCATTTACATTAGAAAGTACCATCTTAATGAATACCCTCTAATATGTATAATCAATAAGAATAATATGACTTTGGCCCCCCAAAAAAGAAATAGTTTTTTAGAAAAATTATAAATTTGAGAAGAAAAATAATTAAATTCTTATATTTAAAACCAAAAAAAAAAAATCTCCTAATTAACTCTTGTATTTAGAATTGGAGAAAATATTTGTTATATTAAAAAATGAATGGTTGAGAAAGGATCAAAGATCAAGACCTTATCCCAAAGTCAATTCCAATCAAATGATGAAGTATTTCTCTGTTTGGCATCTGAAAAATTAAAATCACACATCAATCCCACAATATGGCAACATGTCTAAATGTTTGCGGTATCTACAAAAGAATCACAATACTCATCAGCTGTTCACCTTCTTCCTGTACCAATTCCAATCATCTTCTGTAGATGTACAGGAGACCAGAGAGAGGTTGTTCCACTACATTTCAAATTTTGTTAAATTAACTTTTTATTTCAAACATCAATCAATGTTTCGTGCAATCAACATAGAGGTAGTTTTGGGAGAAAAGCAATAAAATTAGAAGGCAAAAAATATTAACGTCTTATTGTTTTTTTTCTTTGCCAACTAATGTCTTATATTTAATTTAAAACAAATTATTCACGTATCTCTTACACTTCTTAGCTCTAGAAGGAGTATTTTGTATACTATTAAATTCATTAATCAAAAGTCTCCGTAATAATAATACGAGTAAAATACATCACTCTCCGCTCTATTTAATCTAAATTACAGAGAGTTCCCTTTTATTTTGGAAATCTATATGAGTCTCCCTTACACAAACCTCTCTTCTGGTTTTAAAATTTAATTTTCATTCACTCGATCATTAGTTGACCATTAAATGATAGGGTTGACCTATTATTTTGACAAAATGCCCCTCCTTAACGCAGGTATTACTTAATAATTATCATTTAATAACATATGATATTTGAAATTAAAAATTAATTTTAACACATATATTAATTTTTTTGTTACAATATTAAATCAATTACCATATTATAAATTCAATTAATTTTATAAATACAATTTTTATTTTACAATAAATTTAAATGTTTAATCTAGTTTATTTATTAAAACATACTTGTGATGTAGCTTGTTAAATATGTGTTAGCTGAAAATGTTTTGTAATATTATATATTTATTTTCAATTAAACTATGAAGTTATATCTTAATTTAGTAAAAATATTAAATATATCATTAATAAAATATTAATAATAAAAGATAAACTAGAGATTCAATATAATGACCAGTAAACTGGTAAACAAGATTTATTCTAATATGTTTTCAATTAAAAAATATACTTTTTAATGGTGTTAGTGATTTGGATTAAAATGTATGTTATTAAAATAGATGAGAGATTCGTATAATTAAGATAAAATAAAAAGGTGTAGTACTAGTATTTGATACTTGTGTTAAGGTTGTGGATTTTTTCTTAATCATGGGCATTAATGACTGCTTCAAATGGCTCCAAAAATAATTCAAATGGGATGTTAAAAGCATCTAACAAAACAAGACAAACTATAAAGTCAAAATTGATGAATTAGGGGCAAAATATTCATGATTGAGAAAAAATCCACAACCTTAATACAAGTATCAACTATGCGCATTTTTGTATCATAAGTACCTCCAAATATGCATTAATTCAACAAAATATATAATAACAAAATGAAAATGTGGTGAAATAACATAACTTTGATAAGGTTAACAAAGACCACCCGCTGGAAATGTTAGCGTGTGAGGACTACGTATAATATTGGAAGTTTGAATATCTATATCTGTGTGTGTGTGTGTGTTCTTTAACTTTTTTTCATTTTCTGCACAATAAAAAAATTTCTCTTTCTATATAAAGTAAACTATTTTGCACGTCAAATTTTGCTTTAAGTGTTTTGAGAAATTAAAAATGATTTCAAAAGGCGCTTAAACTATTTTTAATATTTTTCTACTTTAACCGGTTATTCCTCCCGCCAATAATACCTTTAATCCTAATATGCATTTTGAAATGTTGTTATTATAAGCATTTTCACATAAAAAATACATTAAAGTGACAAAATAGTGTTTCAAATTTATCCTTACTAAAATTTATCATTGGTAGTCTTTGTTGCTGCTCTTGCTTATACTTCCTAGCTTTAGTTTGGACTTGGGGCATCGGTTGCCCCATCTTTGCTAATTGCTAGCCCATCTTCTGCTCTTTGATTTTTTCACACTTTCCAAACCACTACAAAAATAGCCTTTTACTTCACCATTTTATGTTGGTTACAAAAACAACCATTGTGCGAAAAAAAAAACGGTGACAATTTTGTAGATAAATTCAAACTTTTCATGACAGTTGTACAAATAACTTTCATAGAAAGTGTTATAGTGTGGTAAAACATGAAACTAAAAAGTCATAAATAACAACAGTTATAAGTGAAAACCATCATTAAAAGTAATTTAAAAAGCCCTAGATAGGCCCTATATACTTTTTATAGTTTCACTTTTCCCCTTTTCTTTTCACTCTTTGCTGTAACAACTCCCTTCACCCTTCTCTCCAAATTGCTTCACACTGTCTTCTTCAGTGCATCCGCAGGATTTTCTATTGTCGTCAACCAATCCATTGTTGTAGTTGACTTTTTCACCATTTTCTTTGCTTACTGTCGTCATCTTTGCATGAGGTAGCTTCTCTCCTCTCCTTTTTTCTTCTAAAACATTTTTATATGAATTTCTATGGTGTTAGATGCTCTTAGACTATTGGGTATTCATTTTTCGTAAGTCTTGAAACACATTTTTGGCAATGGAGTCGATTTTTATTTAGTTTAATCTTGTTACATAATTGTTATGGGAATATTGAATCCAAAAGTATACAAATTGATTTTGGTTCTTTGTTTTTCTGGAGTGCATGGTTAATATTTTGATTTGGTGATACTTGAGATACTTGTTGTCTTGTGTATGTTGTTGTTAAGTTTTGAATGAGAATGCTTCTTATATAGGAAAAACTTTGCCAATTTTTTTTTAAAAAATTAAGTCATCCCTTTAAGTAAGTTTTCACTAATCATTTGATTCAAATTTTTGGTTATATTATTTGTTCTGAACATTTGAGTTATCGGTTCTGGCCTGGTGCATACATATGATTGATGGACAGTATCATTATTGATTATAATAATTTGCAATTGCAGGGAGGTTAAATGACAAAACATATGGTGCATAAAATTTTTTTCTACGTTGAGTATATGCTAAACGTCGTTGTTAATAGAAAATCTATGATAGTTATTGAATTGAATTTAACCGATGTAGAAAAGGAACATTCGGACTTGTCTAATAACTGTCATAGAAAATCATCAAAATTACATTCCCCGTATATACGTCCTTCTTTTAACCGTTGTTACAATTCCTCCCTGATTGACATTAATCACCTTTTCTAGTAGTGTTACTTAATTTTGTCGTTATATTCTATATAAACTGAGTTAAATTTTGATATTTCATACGTAAAACATGATGCTATTTTCAATTTTTTAATGATTTTTTTAAAGAAAATGCACTCTACAATTGGTGCTGTTTCTTTTAAATTTAGATACAAATTCTTTGAAAAATCATAAGAAATTGAAAACAACACCAATTTTGACTCATGAGATATCAAAATTTTACTCACTTCATGCAGATTAATATAATGATAAAACTAAAAAAGAAAAAAAAAATGAAACTAGGGCAAAATTAAGGGGCAGTAGAGATGGGGCAACCCAATTCTTTTTAGTTTCTCTGTTTTACTTCCCGATACTTTGGGTCGGTTTTGGTTTTTGCTTTGTTGATTTGATAAGTTTGTAAGACTTGCAATTAATACTATTTCCTCCCTGTGGCCAAAAGAGGTTCTTTTCCCTCTCTATATTTACAAATCATCCTCATCTTTCTCCTTTTTAATGAGAATTAAGTAAGGATAAAATTAGAAAACAATCATTAAATACCTTACAAGTAACTTATGTTCAGAGCAAAAAATTTTCCTTACAAATAACTTATAATAAGGATTGGAGTGATATATATATATATATATATAGCATAATCGTAACTACCAGCGAGGAGGCTGAACGTATGGGCTGAATCATAAAATGGGCTTGGACTATGAGCATGAAATTAATGGGCTCCATGGGATGATAATTGGGCTTGTGAGGGAAGGACTGATATGATATTGATACGTGACATTACCGTATCGAGAAGGAGGAAGATGAGGTACAGTACTTGAGGCTGAAGAGTGGGCCACATCTACAAAGGGCTGCAACTAGCATGGGATTTCGAATTTGGATAGGTCATGCTTGAGTCCGACTCAAAGAACATGATCCATATGCTGCTGAAGAGACAAGTTTATTAGATGTTTGACCCCTTAGTTCAAGGTCTTTGTTCGACGACGATGATTGCATGGGATTGAGTGCTTGTTTCACTACCACAAAAGTAAAAATATTTAGTGGTTATTTTTGTTTAAAACCGTCAAATAATATTTAACAGTTCTTTGTCAATAATTATCAAATAAGGCCACCTTATTTGACTGTTCTTAATGAATAACCGTCAAATAAGGTTAAAAACTATCAAATAAGGTGGCTCCTTTTAGTTTTATATAATTATCTTTAATCATTTGTTTCTATTTTTTTATTGTTAATATTTGTTATGATATAAAATATAATCATTGAATAATAACAAGAAAATGATATTAAATAAAAAAATTTTATTTATAGAATTTAAAATCCAATATATTATACACAAACATCATACAATTTGAAAGAAATCAATCACTTGAGAACTCCCTATACAGAAAAACATCCTCATAAATTTTTTGAATTCTAAAACAAAATTCTAATAATAAAAATTCCTAAAACTTGGTTCTTGATCAAGCATTATAGTCCAAGCTCCATTGCAATATTCAATATAAAAGTGGTGAATGTGATGTCCAAAAAAATCCGGCTTATGCTGCCTCAAACTACCTGAAAGAGCTAAATTAGATACATCAGAAATAAAGTATAACAATAAGTTGAGTGAAATACTTGAAAAATAAGTTCTATTGTACTGGATTAAAATTGGTCTTTTTCTAAACTTAACTATCATTTCTTCAATTTCTTTCTCTATTTTGTTTTTACCTAAATACATACTTGCTTTATTAATAGACGAAGCAATACAATGCAGCATAAAACAACAAAACATGGTATAAAAGCAAACTAAAAATGCCAAAGGGATGAGAACAAAATGCTAACATCACGCACAACACCTGGAAGCAACAAATTGAAATTGGTTAATAGGTTGTTTTACTTGGTGAGAAAAGCCACAAATGAAAACTGCTAAAAGAACAAAGAACAAACTACAACCTTCTTAGCAAAAATTACCAGAAGAGAAACCAAAGTATGAGAGGATGACAAGACAAATAAGAATAGCATAATTTGTCTAATGTAAAGTAATATTCATTAATGAAGACGTGAATGTCAATTCTTACTATTCAGGTGGTGCAAATGAAAATTCTGCATACCACATGGCATGGTGTGCTTGCACTAAACAAATTGGAGATAGAAAAATTTGCAAGTACGCACATTCTACAAATCAACTAAAAAAATCTCCTACAATCAATAATCTTATTTCATTGTGCTGCACTCTCTCTATATACATTAATTAAAACAATCTAATTTACCACATGCCATTTGCTTCTCTTCCTCAATCTCCACTTTTTAATCATCCAAGCAATTTGCCATAACTGCAAATACCAATCTTCAATAACTGTTAATGTAACAAACTTAACATTCACGAAATGCCTTAAAGCTAAGCTATTTGCTGAAATTGCACATTAGATGGCTGTTGATTTCTCCAAACATTCTGCAAACATATTGTGATTGTCAAACTTTTTGACAGCTATCAAACAAACCTTGGAAGAAGGGGGGAAAGTTATAGCTTCAATGGACAATGGTTATGTAGTAGCAAATTGATCAAAGAAGAAATGAGTGACAAGCAAACAATTAGACAATTCATAGCCATAGAATTTTATGTGGTAGGATCACATTAGCACACAATTATTAGCTTATGTTTATGGTGCTTATTAAAGACTTTGGATTCTGTTTCAATTCAAAAATTCATAGTAGAAATCTATTTCAAACTAAGAACCTTGAAGTGGAAATTACATTCAAGAAATGGACAAATCAATCTTCACGTCGCGTCTATGAATCACCACTACAAAAACCAACTCACAACATATAAATGATGATAAAGTGGGAGCTTTTTGAGAGCGCTACACATTGGTTTAAGAATATGGTCCTAATTAATCCCTCCCATCATAATCCATTCAGCAATAATTTCCCCTAAGATAAGCATCCTACTAGAAAGCGCACTAAACGACATTTATCTGAATTAATTAATATAATACTCAGCATAATGATTTGAACCAAAGAAACTCTGTTTGTGTGCATCCTTTGGTTTTGAAGATTCAAGAAACTGGTAGTTGTGGTTCGAGCTACCAGCTCCATGTTCATAGTGAATAAAAATTACAAATCTAGTATATGAAATCTAAATCCAAAATCTACATAAGAAAACCTCCAAAACTAAAATCTCACAGTAGAAGATGATAAATATAAGATGAATTAGAAGTAGCTGTAAAAAATTTATCTGCTTAATTCCTTTTATCATAATAGCAAATAGAGAGGAGTGACAAGGAGAGATAAACCTTGTGTTTCCCTAACTGAGGGAACATTTTGGAGCGAATCGCTAGTGAGAACGCAAGCCATGATGCTGACGACAGGGAGGAGGAGGTCAACGTGGATGCAGAAGAAGACTAAAGCTTGGAGAGAGGCTAGAGGTATACTGTGTGCAGATGATGGAGCCACCAGGGATGGGTAAAACAATAGAAAACAAACTTGACAATGGAAAGGAGACCATGGCTGAGAACAATCAGTAGTGGGTGCAGTGACGAGACCTGTCGCGAGATCTGTTGCCAAGAAATGTTGAGTGAAAAGGGAATAAAGGAAGAGGGAATAGGGCTCAAGGAGGAAAAGTGTCGGGCGGAAGAAGAGAAGAAGCCTGAGAAAACTGATTCATTAATCAATATTATTAAAAAATTTCATAATTAAAAGATTATATGTCGGTTTTTTTACAAAACCGTCAAATAGATTGATAACTCATTTGATTGTCATTTATAAACAACCGTCAAATAATATATTATTTTTTTGAAAAATAAAAGTTAAAATATTATTATATAACCGTCAAATATTCTTCTATAATACTTGACGATAATAAAATAACTATCAAGTAATGGTTTATCTGATTTCCGCCTCATAATATTTGACGGTTTTTTTTAACCGTTAAATATTAGGCATCATATATTATGAAATTTGTAGTAGTGTTTGGGATTATGATTGGATACGTAGTTTGAAATAAAACTTCTTTTAGATATGTACTTTATATTTTATAAATTACGATTGAAAAGTTGTTTTTATAAAGTTTTACAGTCATTCTAAATGGGTGGTTGATTTATGAGGCGTGCTGGTATTTCCTAATAAGGTTAGTCATTTTCAGTACTCATTTTATGCTAAAGAACCTAAATTTGTGGCACATTCAATGACCAATGTAATGTATCAGATAATGTGGTGGTTGTAGAACAATGAAGCAGTTAAAGGGTTGGTATCCTTTAGTTTACTGTTTGGATGGGGAGAAAAAGAGAGAGGAAAGAAAACTAGGGAAGAAAATAGGGAGAGAAGTGTGTTTTTCCTTGTTTAGATAGGGGAGGAAAAATGAGAGGAAAGAAAAGTTAGAAAGAAAATAAGGTATAGGACCTACCCTATTTTTCTTCCAACTTTTCTCTCCACATATGGAGAGAAAATGGGAAGAAAACTCATTTTTCCGTACTTGCCTTTTTTCCTTCGCGCGTTCCTTTTTTTTCTATTTTGAAAATTTGTGCGCATACCTAGCCGCGCTGCCCATCCTGAACTCCACTCAAAATCATTATTCTTAATACAGATGCAAGGACCAAGTCAAAAACGCCATCGTAGCTCCATCATTGCTTTGACTATCAGGTGAATATTTCCTTTTATCCCTGCTCCATCTTTTCCCTTTACTTTCTACTTTTTTTTTTTCCTTTCAACCATTCTAATTCATGGACCGTATCCATCATGACTCATGATTTCACATTTGAGTTAGGAGAGAAAATAATTCCTTTGTACTACTGCTACTGAAATTTCATGGTTTTCCTGCAATTCTGATTGAGTTGGTGGAATTGGGAGATAATTTTGATTCCCTGATGTTGACTTGATGCTTTTGCTTTCTCTCTCTTCAAGATTGATTCTTATCCATGTCTATGATTGCGGGAATGTTTTTGCTATGGTTCTGTTTTGGATTTGGAATGACATTGGTTTCGAAGCTATGTATGTTCTATCTATTATGTCGCAATTGTGAATTAATATATTTTCTCTGTAGACTAAATTTAATAACTTAAAATATTTGTTCATCATCTAGAGACACTAAACAGTAATAGTATTGAGTTTCCATAACAGCACATGCCTATACACATGTATATTTATATCTCCAATGATTCACATAACCTTGCACTTGATCTGGAAGCATTTTAGTAAAGTTTCAGATTCCATATTCTTATACACATGTATATAAATACATCCCCCAAGTTAGAACACTAACAACAGCCATCCTATAATCACTTTTTTTCCCCTTGATGGTAGCAATGTGACAAATTCCTTTTACATATGAGGAAGGGTTAATGAGTATGCTTGAAATAATTGTCATGTTCATGTATGCATATGTCTTGAACCAAATGAGAAAGGGTTCATGAGTATGTTTTATTAATCTATGTAATTTGTTATATAGATGAGCAACTGTAATAATGAAGAATTGAACAAGGATCTTGAGGAAGAAATGTTGGATTTTGAGCATGAAGTTAAAGAGTTGATAAATTTCAAGTTGACGAACTTGAATCATGTATTACAAGATTGGGAATGGCGTAGACGAATGTGTGTTGTACAGCTTGTTTGTTATATTGTACATGCAATTTGTTGGTCGGGAGAGATGGCAACAATAGTTGATAAGCCTATAAGTTATGGAAATGTTGAAAGAGAGAGCATGCAGAGGACATTTATGAGACAGTTAGAAGAGACAGATAAATGTCGTGATGTTATTCGTATGGGATCACAAGCATTTCTACAATTATGTGCCAAACTTAGAAACAGTGGTAGAGTTGAAGATTCTAGAAATGTTAAGGTTGAAGAGCAGGTGGCAAAATTTCTACACATTAACACATAATGTAAGAAATAAAACAATGGCTTTTTACTTTAATCGGTTTGGGGAAACGTCATTTTCATAATGTATTACGAGCTATTGTTTCTCTTAAGGCCGAATATCTCGTCCAACCTTCTGGCTTAGAAGTTCCTTTGGAAATTCTTACTAATCAAAGATTCTACCTATATTTTAAGGTATGTTTTATATTTTTTCATGCTTCTTGAATTTTAAAATGTATATATTATGTATGACCAAATTTTATAATAGGATTGTATTGGAGCTATAGATGGAACTCACATTCGAGCAAAGTACCTAGAGAGAAGCTGCTCGATTTTGAAGATGTAAAGATTACCCTACTCAAAATATTTTTGCTGCATGTTCGTTTGACATGAAGTTTACATATGTCTTAGCTGGTTAGGAAGGAACTGCCTCTGATGCAAGAATCCTAAAAAATACTTTATCAAGAGAAGATAAAATTATAATTCCTCAAGGTTAATAAGAAATGACAAATTATTGTTTTATTTTATCTTATACATGCCTGTTTAGGCTTATTGACTAATTTATATTTTGCAGGAAAATTTTATCTTGGGGATGCCGACTTCCCACTCAAGCATGATCTACTAACACCTTACAGAGGAGTTCGTTACCATTTGAAGGAATATTCAGCAAGATCACCATAAAATGCAAAGGAAATTTTTAATCATCGACATGCATCCTTGCGAAATGTTATTGAAAGAACATTTGGGGTTTTAAAAAAAAGATTTCCCATCATTGGTAGTGGCACTGAGCCACATTTCTATTAGAAACAATGGTTGACATTGTGATGGCCTGTTGCATATTACATAATTTTTTGATGGGTGTTGACCCGGATGAGAACCTAATCTCTAAAGTTGATCATGAACTATCACGCAATACCAACATAGACAATCAACTTGCACACAATCAAGAGGAAGACTATAGACAATGATCAATTTTACAGGATAATATAGCAGCTCATATGTGGCATGACTACTCAACTCATATGTCACATAGATTGTGATTTGAACTATTTATTTAAGTTGTATAACTATGAAATTTATCTTACCTGTATTGCTTGAAGTATGTGTTTTTTTGTATCAGTTGACGTGTAGCACTAGACAAATGTGTTTTGACTAGTTATTTAAGTTGTATAAGTATCAACTTGATCTTGCCTTGTATTGCTTTCTTTGCATTAGTTGACATGTATTTGATTATATAATCCCAAATTAATTATGATTTGTTACTATTTTTTTTATGTAGATTGAACAATGACACAAAAAAGAAAGGAATTGACAAAGGATAATTTTCCTTGGACTCCTGAAATGGATGAATCTTTTATTGATGCTTTATTGGAAGAAATGATGAAAGGAAATCGTCCAGATGGCACATTTTCAACATTTGCATATGATAATATGGTCCAAACACTTAACAACACTTTTGGTTCTTATATTACCAAGCAGCATTTGAAAAATAGGAAGAAGACTTTATCACAACGATTTGCAGAACTTTACGATTTGTTTAATGGATTGAGTGGATTCTCATGGAGTCCTATTACAAAATTATTTGAAGCTAATAATCAAGTTTGGCATGATTTAATCGAGGTAAGTAGATTGTATAATTTAAACTTATTTACAAGACATGAGATTCACATATCTTATTTTGTCTTTGCAGAAAAAACCAAATGCAAGAAAGTGGAAAAATACCCCAGTATTACATTATGATAAGTTGTATGAGTTGTTTAGTGCGAATAGGGCAATCGGAAAATACTCCAAATGTCCCAAGGAAAGGGTCGCACAATGGGATCAAGAGGTCAATCAATTAAATAACTCTATTGTAGGTGCAACTAATGTTGAGATTGAATGTGATTTTCCAAATAATTCACCAGACTCACAAGTTAATTTGGACTATAGCCCAACATGTGGGGCATCGGTAGCAACTATATCAACTAGAGGACAAAAGCGTAAGGCTTCAATGGATTCGTCTATTGAAGAAAGGTGTAAGAAAATAACAGTAGGAATAAAGGAACTAGTTGATGTCATACGAGATGGCAATGTTGTTACCGAGAAGCATGCTCAAATTGCTAAGAAACATGTTGAAATAGCTGAAAAAGGTATTTCAATACTTGAAAAGAGTAGGCCTCGTCATTATAATGAAGGGGAAGTGTGGAATGCAATTGTAGAAATTGGAATACCTGAAGAGCATAAATTGAAATGTTACTTCTTCTTGTGTAATAATAAAAGACGCAAGCTAAACTTTTTTGGTGTTCCACCTCATATACGACTACAAACATTGCTTAGAATGATGACTAATGCCGGGGTTCAGTGAAGTCTTGGCCTTTTGTTAGTTTAACAATTACAGATCTTTTGCAGAATGGTGATATTTCAGACTCTTGTTTAGGGAACATATAACTTTTGTTATGATTTTAGTCATGCATTGGTTTGTTGGTTATTTTTTGGTTGAGGAACATAGACCTTTTAGCATTATGCTTATGATGTAAATGATAGGTTCACTCTTTTTTTTCCCTTCCTTTTTAATAATATTCCATGATCATAATGTTGGGCATTTTCATGAAATCAATTTCTGAGGCTATTGTATTTTACTTTAATCCTTTTATTTTTAGCATTTATTAATAATATTGGATCATGTTTAATTTATATATTTCTTTTAATTATATTTCATTTTAAAAATTATCCACTTTGTAACCTTCAAAAATAATATTTTTCTCTAAAATTATTTGGTTTAAAATACAAAATTATGAAATTATATGTTTATCAAATTATTTGATTATAAATTTTTTGATCATGTTAACGTTAATATTATTTTGCTATTCTAATATTGATTTTGATTTTAAATATGATATATTCTTATATATAAGGATATTTTGGTCATTTACCCTTTTGCTTATTTTCTTTTCTCTCGTGTATCCAAACAAAAGAGGTGATAACATTTTCTCTCTAGTTTTCTCTTCTCTCCACTTTCTCTCCTCCCATTTTCTTTCCTCTCAACTTTTCTCTCCATCCAAACGGAGCATTACTGTTGAGGAAGGAGAAGGCAGAAACATGATATAATATTTATTATACACATATAATTATCATTATTATTCAATGTTGTATGAAGATCTCTCCCATCCCCAAAAGTTATTTCATAAAGCATAAAGAATTTATCAATGAGTGTCAGTGAGAAACTTTTCGTGAATCATATTGATTAAATAATTAAAAAATAATAAAATAATCTTGTAAACTCCCAGTCTTTTTTTTTTTTTAAAAAGAACTAGCAAGGAAGTTGAATTTAGTCTTAGATATAATATCCAAATTCATATTTATTCAAATAACTAACTCTACTAATTGTATATATTAAGGAAGTTTGTATCACAAGGTTGTTTCAATCCAAATTATTTAAGAGGGTATTTTAGAAAAACCAATACATATTTTAGACAAATAACTAATTTAACTACTTTGCTTAATCTATTCAAATTAGTTAAGTGGGTTTTACATCAAAGTAGGAAAGATAGTATCTGTTTGTTACACCATTCTTAGTTTTGATCAGTACTAGGCGTCATCACTTCCTTTTGATCTAGCAAATAATCTCCTTGTTCTTTGATTTGTTAGCCACAATTTTTTTCTTTTTTTTTATAGAGAAAAGGACTTTCACAAAGTTTAACTACAAGGGCGGGAGGATGACGACCAATGAGAAAATGCATGTACATAGTTATTTTTTTGCCAAATTTAGAAAATTTCTTCATAATGCGAGTATCACCAATAGAATATGGTAAATCTTCCAAAACTATTTATCTGTGTAACATCCTAAGTTTTAGCAGGTTTTAATAGCCTCTTTTTGGTTGATTTTGAGGATAGATTAGTGATTTAATGTTGATCTTGGTGTTTGGGTTGGAATTAAGGTATGTTGGAGGAATAGGTGAACAGACCCCTCTCAGGGTATGTTCGCCGCGGCGAACCAGCAGTTCCAGGGGGGATTGTCTTTCGGGAAGGTTTCGTTGCGGCGAAGGTTTTCTGGGCGAGCGAGAGTTTTCTCTCGGGAAGCTTTCGCCTCGACGAAGTCAGGCTTCCAAGAAAGTAATCCCTCTCGGGATTAGTTCGCCGCGGCGAAGTTATGGGTTCGCCACGGCGAAAGGTGCCGAATCTATATAATCACGGGAGGGTTTGGTTCTGCGAAAATTAGAAAATTTGAAGGAGGAGAGAGAAGCTCTGTTGGGGTTTCAGTGTTGTGGCTTGGGAAAGGTGTTTCTAAGGATCCATTACCTCAAGTAAGTGATTTTAACCTCTAATCTACTTTCTTTCTTGGAATTTCTGAGGATTTATGGTGAAACCCTAGAGTTTTCTAGGTTGTTATGGAATTGAGGTTTTTGACCGACTGTTTTGAGTTTAATTGATTGCTTTGGGTTAGTCTAAGTATTTAATCGGTGTAGTTCTCTTGGATTTGAAGAACTTGGAGTTTTTGAACTTAGGGTTTATGGAAATGGGAGGTTTGTGATTGAGGATGATAATGTGGAGGTTGATTTTGAGTTTTGTGAATTGGGTTATGTTAAGGAGGGTTAAATTGGATGTTTAATCGGTTTAGAATGTTGTTAGGACTTCAATTGTTCTAATGGGATGTTTGGGTGTTGAATTCCTATATTGGGTCCTTGAGGTTATGAGTTTTAATTGATATTTGAAAGGAATTAAGGTTTTAATGGATTTTTATGACCTTGGAGTGTTGCCTTGATGGTTATACCCTTTTAAGTTGGGTAGAGTTTGGTTGGAGTTAGGAATTTTGTGTCCCCAAGTGTTGTTTTGACCACATTATTAGTTGAAAGCTAATACATGTTGGATGTGTGCTTGTGTAGACCGGTTGTGAGCCTTGTTGGTGCACGGGGCCGTGTTATCGGTTTGTTATTCCTTGCTCAGGCGAGAGGTAACCACTTTCCAATCCTTTGTACATGCTTTTGTGGTATTGTGAGTGGATTTATGTTTTGTGCTCTGAATAACAACTGTGTTCAAAGTGTATGTTGTATATTGAAAAGGAAAACCGTCTTGTGGGGTTTAAATTGATATTGATTGAATTTGTAACTTGTGAAAGATAGGCCACTGAAAGAAGTAATTTGTGAAATGATTATTTACTCTTTGATTATGGTTTGAGCATGATGCATGAATTGGGAATTGGTGAGAGTTTTGATTGTTACTACCACATGGTAAGGCCTCTATTAATGCATGATGGTTGGCTCTTTACGTCCCCCATAGTGAGGGATAGGCCTTTTGGCTCCCTACGTCCCCCAGAGTGAGGGATAGGCTTTTTATGGCTCCTTACGTCCCCCATAGTGAGGGATAGGCCGGCTTCGGTTCTTGAAGATCCCCTAAAGTGAGGGATATGGTTAATGGGATTGCATCATTGCACTTGCATTACTTGTTGTGGCTATCATTTATAATATTACTTGTGAACTGCCCCACTTGACACCTCACGAGCACCTATTTAGTAGTACCTTGAATTGGAAAGATTGGTTACTAGGACATTGTCTTACCCCGTGGTTTACAATGTTTTCAGGTGAAGGTTTCGGGCGTGTGTCATCGGGAAGAGATGCAGAGGCTTGAGCTGGGTTAGCTTTAGGCCTCTAGCCTTTGCATATGTATAGCTAGTTGTATATTGCCACGTTTAGGATCCCTTTTGAAATATTTTGATTACCCGGCCTTGTTGTAAACTGGAGAGAATGATATCTCCTTATTTGGTTGGCTGGAGGCCATTTCTAGTGTCTTATGAAACTCTGATTTATTGTGTTAGAAACCATTTGGATGGGCTGATGTGATGCATGTTGTTACTCGGGCCGGAGGCTCGGAGGCCCAGTAGATGTTAATGAATGATTTTTAGTTGCATGCAACGGAGTTTGGGTTTGACCCGAGTTTGAAAGTCAATTTCTAAAATATGCGAATTTCTTTCTACTATGGTAGTTCATTTTAACAGCTTTCCTTTTCTACCATAGTAGTGATTTTATGACGAATTTATAATGCTTTGGGGTAAAAGATTTTACAATCTGTACCTAGAAGTTCACATGAGCAGGATATATACATGATGTATAAATTAAATTAGGAAATTAATAGTAATAATATAGGATGACAAAGAAAGGATAGTTAGCTTTTGAAGGACCACATATTACAATTAGTGAGTATTGTAGAGAAAGACACAATAAATTTTATTAAGAATTTAGAATGTAAAGGGAAAAAAGGGAGAAAAAAAAACTCAGCATATTAGGCAAAAAAATCCCAAAAAGAACGATTCTCACAAATCCTTCTTTCATTCCTTCTGATGTGCAGAAGCGTGGAAAGTTTTATTTATTTATTTTAACAATAGTGATAATACTAATTCTAGTCTATAATATAAAAGCTAATAATAATTTGATTTGATTTTAAATATAAGATTTTAATTCATTTTGTTCTGTTTATTTATTCAAACTAATCCTATTGATTGTATGTGTTTAGAGAGTTTGTGTTAAATGATAGGTTCAATTCAAATAATTATTTAAGAAAATATTTTAAAAGAACTAATACATATTTTTTTATGATTAACTAATTTAACTATTATTTTTAATCCACTGAAACCAGAATAGTTTTGGGATGATAGGACATGGGGCGGGATTGTCTTGATCCCCGTCTGTACCATTAGCTCCCCTGCTACAATTTGTTTCCCCATGTTTCGTGTCATGTGGGATGTACAAGTCTTTGTCCCATGTGCCAAGGAGTGGAGTCTTACAGGAGACCAATCACTGTACACAAAGTGTCACTGTATCATATTGTATCGTCATCATCTCCTTAGCCCCTTACCATTGCTTATCATGCACAACAAACACAAGGCATATAAGCAGGTTTGAAAATAGTTAAAATATTTTATTGAATAATTAAAATAAGTTACAAGCATGTTTGAAAGAAACAAAATACTCCGAGATTTCACGATAGTAATTAGAATACAAGCATGCTTGAAAATGATTCGACCACAATTTGAATAATCTAAACATTGCACACACATTTTAAATCCAATTCATACACCCACACAAATATATATATATATATGTATAGGAATTGTAAGTTAAAAATATGAATAACTATAATATCTATATAATTTAAT